TTGCTACGTATCGGTATACTCTACGGAAATTAGCAAACACTCTCGACTTATTTTCCTCTGTGATTGCAAGTAAAAACTTTCGTATGTGGATCGGTAGGTCGGTAGTGATATACCTCTAAGGATGGTGACAATTTCTTAGGGAACGAAAATTATGCCTCGCGAAAACTCACCTGTGATAAAGAACCGCTAGAGGTATAGTTGCGCACCCGTTTAGAGCGATGAAACTCATCATTCCCTTCTTCCAACGGTAATGCTATTCGCTATAACGCGACCAAGAGAACTCGTTTTGAAATAGGTGGAGTCGATGCGTCCGACAACACCAATAAAATAAATACCTTCTGTCAAAGTTGTTTGGACTTCTCTTTGGCCAGTGCTAGAGAGTAATATGGTGAACAAATACTACATCATAAATCCGTGCATTCCGCATGCCCACACAACCTCAGGACTACCACCACAATAAGAGTATCGTCGAGTCGATAGACCCTCTCTGCCTTCACTTTCTTGTTGCACAGCCAACAGGGTTTAGCGACCAATCAACCTGTTCGAACAAAGCGTGAAGGGGATACCACAGGACCTCCATCGCGGGTGGAGACTGACCTTATTTGTGTCTGTGATCTGCATGCCATGACGCTTTATGCTCACCGACTCCAGTAGTTTCTGCCCCAGCCAACTTGTTCCCACCCGTTCGCGCCTTCTTCTTTCACTTTTCGTTTTCTCTCTTTCGACTTCTTCTCTCTCGTGCTACTCATGACATGGTTGCCCCACACACTACGCTGGGATAGTGGTGGAACTGGTTGAAACCATCAATGACCGACTGCATTTTATCTATGGCCGAACAATTGCACAACCGGAACAAGACTGAGAACTCACTTGGAAGACTCTTATACTGTGTTGGGATCATGTTGCAACCATGTTGGGATAAAGTTGAGACATGGGGACCACGCTAGGACAATGCTTAGACTCCATCGGGACAACACTGAGACCATGCCGGTCCCAACTGTCTGTGTGCTATCCAATTGACAGGCTAGTGACCCCCTCTCTCAGTGCCATAATTTATCTCGACCTTTGAACCTCAATCTTTTTGCGTTAGAGGGTAATGTTGTGAAAAAATAGCAAATCACAAATCCGTGCATTCCTCGCAACTGCACAGCCTTAGAACCACCACCACAATGAGAGTGCCACTGAGTCGACGCACCCTCTCCTATGTTACTTTCCTGTCACCCGATCGACGAGGTTGAGTGACTGACAAACAACCAATTGGGAGAAAGCACGAAGAGGATACAATGACATTTCTGCCATGGGTGGGTTGTGATCTGCTCGCCCTAGAAACCGCAAAGGGGATACGACGAGACTTCAACCACAGGTGGGCTTTGATCTGCTCGCCCTTGATGCTTAATGCTCAACGACCTAAGGTACCTCCCCCGGTAGTTCCCACCCACTCCTACCCGTCCTCACCCATCCCCGCATTCTACTTCTACTCACTTTTCCCTTTTCGTTTCCTTCTCTCTCATAGTGGCCATGATATGGTTGCCCCATACACCGCACTGGGACCATCAATAACCATACCTTTTGTATGGCCAAACAATCGACAAAGTTGGAACTGGACTGGAACCCTCTTGACCCGCTGTCACACTGCACTGGGATCGTATTGGGACCATGCTAGGTTCCACACTGGAACGCCGATAACAAAGTTGCCCCTATCCCAACTTATTTGTGCTCCGTCCAACAAATAAACAACTGGTGACCTACCCTCTCCTTGCCACAACCCATCGCTGCACTTAGTCTAGCTAAACTTGTAATTACAATTTCTTTTCGAAAACTCATATGTTGCCATGGCAACACATACCCGATACAAGCTGTTACAATCATTAATAACAACAAGTCAACCAGTCTTGGCGATGCCGCGGAATAGGAATGATAGGGAGTGCAGAGAGGAAGGGGGACCAAAGGAAGAAAGAACGGCCGACGAATGGAGAAAGCAGGAGGGTGGATGGAGAAGGGGATGCAAAGAGTAACGAACACACAGAAAGAGGAAGGCAAACTCCATCCACTCATCGTTTTTCCCTCCCTTCCATGCATTTTTTTTTTTCTCACCCTTGTTGTCTCCCTGGTTTCATCTTTTGCTGACCCTTTGTATTATGATGCCTCCTCTTGCATGTCATCATTTCATTGCCACCTGATCCATCTTTCCTCCCCTCGCTTTCAAGTGATCATTCATTGGTTTTTCACAGGAAAAAAAGAAAACAAAAATGCTCTCCGTTCGACGTTTAGGTCAATTTTTGTTTTTTCAGCTCTGTCGCGTCTCCTCTTCCGTCTCTTTTGGCTCTCTCTCCTTCCTCTGTCGCACGTTGTTCCCCAGTCCCTTCCACGTTATCATCCCTCCCGTGAAGGCATATGATGTTGCCCTGCATCCGCCGCTCCGTTCCACGTTATCATTCGACGTCCATTTTCCATCGTCCTTCTCCTTCTCCCCTGCACGTCGTTCCTTGGGTATCGATCCCCCCTTCGCCGTTATCGTCCCTCGTTTTCAACGTGACCATATCCCCGCTACCTGATCCTTCCTTCCTAAACAAAGAGTATTCAAAGTGCATGAAAGCATTCTGTATGTTCGAAAAGAAAACAAAAAAAAAAAACTGTACAGGAAATTAAAAAACGACGAAGTAAGGCAAGCGGAACGCTCGACCCATGATTTACAATCTACCGTTCGAAAACTGAAAAGAAAGAAACACAAAGCATGGAACGGTGCCCTTCCACGTTACCTTTGTTCTGTTACCCCAGTCGTCTCGCTTCCTCCATCCCTTTTCTCTCCCTCCTTTCCACGTCCTACCCTCACCCACCCATGTTCGCTATCCATCCCATGTCCAACCAATTAATAGTCTCACACGCGCATCATGATCGCTTCCTCCCTTACTGCCGTCCTATCTTCAACCA